CAGCAAAGTTTAGACTTTTTAACTCAGATTTACGAACTATTTCTATTATTCAGATATATGTGTATATTTTGTTAAACACATATATACTTAATTAGATACTTTGGAAAAAAAAATAGATACATATAATCTTAACTCAATAATGTGTCAAATACATGCATAAATCTCCAATAATGTGTAAATCTCCAATACATGCGTATATTTATTCATACACATGTACACTTAATTAGATATAAAATTAAAAAAATAGATACGTATAATCAATAATGTGCCAAATACATCAATAATTTCAATCTGATCCAAAAACTCCCTTTCTCATCTTCTTGCTCGTCAAGGTTTTATCACAATTGCTGCATAAACCCTCTTTCAATTTGTAACAAATTACATACTACCTTTCTCTTTTGTTCGCCAAAGTTGTTGCATATTTGAATTTTGAAATTTAAGCGGATGAAAATATCGAGAATTTGTAGAGGTAACTTTCTTGCGTTTTTCGAGCAACAATAAATAAACATTCTTCTCATTTTGAAAATTGCTAGACATGAAAGAAATCTAAGAAAAATTTCAGAATTTTTCAAAGCCTAAATTCGCTCATGTGTTATATTCTTATACTATACTTTATTTTATTTCAACTTAAGTGATACTTTTTTTTAGTCTCTCCTTAAAAGAATAACATCTTTTTTATAATTAGAAACAATTCAACTTTAAAAGTTCTCTTCTATACTTATAAAATGATTTATAGTCACACAAATATTTAAGATTAATTTTATATTATAAATTTTATAAACCTTCCCTTTTTCTTAAACATCATGTGGAGTCAAATGAAGTCACATGAATTAAAACATATGAAGTATTATTTATGGGTCTCGCCCCAAAAGAATAACATCTTTTTTATAGATAGAAACAATTCAACTTTAAATGTTCTCTTCTGTACTTATAAAATGATTTATCGTCACACAAATATTTAAAATAGTTTTAGACCATAAATTTCATAAATCTTCTCTTTTTCTGTGGAGTCAAATGATGTCACATGAATTAAAACATATAAAATATTATTTATGAGTTATGACCTTAATGCCATCATACAACTTCTTATTCCTTTAGTCCATTTTTTTAAAACACATTTTAACGACCCTTGGATGGGTCAGGGGCTGAGCAACACCCGCAATTCCTATAGTCCATTGGCTTATTAGAATGAGGAATACTACTTTTTGAATTTGAAAACAATTATTTTAGATAAAAGGGAACTCCACTTTTGAGTTTTGAGGTTCTTGTGTTGTGTAGAAATGAGAAATGGAAAATTAATCATATCATGGAGGCAAAAGTACAATTTTTATGCTACCTTAGCACGGATACTTTGTTAAATTTGGTAATGACAAGACATCTTATGCAAATTATTGGCCCATTTGCTAGCAATTATTGTAAATTATAAGCATGTCCATAATCATAATATGCCTACTCTAATGAAACATGAAACACAATTTGTAAATGTTTAATTAGTATGTTTGATTTGACATCACTTCTTACTCTTTCTATCCCAAATTAATACTCTCTCCGTCTTTTTTTATTTGTCAATTTTTAAATCAACACACTTATTAAGAAAATACTTAATGACGTAATGAGTTTATCATTTTACCCCTATTAATTATGAAGTGGAAAAGTTCTATATTTTTCAAAGTAATTAGTCATTTAATGGAGGATATAATAGGTAAAAAAAATTTATCCTTTCTTGATATGTCAAAATGGACAAATAATTAAGAATAACTATAAAAGAAAAAGTGAGTAAGTAATTAGAAACGAAGGGAATAATTATTCCAAGCTCAAAAAACTTGTCATGAAATAATTGTTATTTTAGAAATTCAAAACTAAAGTGGAAAAGTATTTTTAATTATATATGCCCTTAATATTCAATAATTAGTTCTTTTTAATATAATTTAATTCTCCGAAAAAAACTTCAGTAAATAAGAATAACTTAGTAAACCAGAGGGGTTTAATATTCCACAAGAATGTAAAGTTATTCCTATATTCTTGATCCCCCACCTAACATTCTCAGTTAATTATTTTTTTCAATTTATATCTCATGAACATGTTATGAAATAATAACAAATATAAAATAAAAAGACATGCAATTAAAAAGTACGAAATAAAAGAGATTTTATTTATCTTGACATTTATGAACAAAATGAATTGAATTAGCTCTTAGGATACAGAGTCGTCTTTGTTAGGGAGCAATTTATTTCTAATATGAAATTTTTTGACATGAATGTGAATTAAGTCAGATTCTAATGTGGGTACCAGACACCGAATGAAAAATAAAAAAAAAAAAAATTATTTTGTAGGTTTACTTTTAGAAGGTGCTTAAACTACTTTAGGAAGCTATTTTGTGAACTTTTTATGAAAGCTAATTGCAGAGCTACTTATAAGCTATTTGTAAGATTCTTCTAGAAGCTATTGGAGTAATCAATGGGCATTTACAATATTACTTGAAAAAGTTAAGTGAGATAAAATATAAATGAAGAAAAGTAGTTCATAAATCTAGAAATAGGCATTACTAAATGTCTCATTAAAACTTTATCATAAAAAATCAATGTGATAAAATGTTGTAATAAACGTAAAATTCATATTTTCATAATCATTTTTATTTACGTTTATTACAACATTTTATCACATTGATTTTTTATGATAAAGTTATATATATATATATATCATTGTTTGTATTAATTATTTTCAAAGTACCTAAATCTTTTATGAGGTTTCATAAAGTATTATATATTATTGAAAGTTCTTCAAAATCATATTACCTCATTATTATGATTATTTGCTATCTTTTTCCTTTCAAAGATTATTGAAAATAAAATTGATTAGTCTATTAGACCTTATGTACGTACGACATTTTATTCTTTGGAAACAACTAATAAAAGCATTTATAATTAAAATATGATATTAGTTTTGGATCAACTAATGTATTTGAAATTTGACTTGAATAATCTTTGGATGAGGATTAGATTATTGATAATTTGTTAACCGATTGATTTTTTAGGAAGTGCTCACGAAATCAAGTCGATAAGTCAATTATGTTTTGGGTACAACAAATCTATTTTGTACTTGTTTGTAGGCGTGTTCATGTGAGTAAGAAATTTCTTTATTGTATCGATCTTTCAGATAGACTTGATTTGATACTTTCAAAGAAAAAGTTACAGGAAGGGCTAATTATGAAAGATAATATATTTTTTTCAGAATAATCAATTAGATTAACATCTAAAAGACTTGTGTGCCTTTCTTGAGGAAACTCAAGGAATTCATCTAGGACTCTGAAAGAAATGAAAATTCCTTGTTCTAGCGAGTACTTAAAGGACTTCAAGATTCTTATACTAACGGGTAGATTTCATTCGAAATAGTGTTATTTAATTGGTCAATCCTTAAACTATGTTAAAATACCCTTTGTCCATTACTGAATAAGAAATGATTGCATATAATCCTCCACACATATATTTTTTAGTTGCTAATTATTTTTTGTAACGACCTTATTCTTTGGTCATTTAGTATTTTTCAAAAGAAAAATAAAAAATTGAATCCTTCTTGTAGCTTATATATCCAATTGTGACATGTAGAAATAGAAATATTTTTTGCAAGATCAATATATATATATATATATATATATATATATATATATATATATATATATATATATATATA